ACATTAAAACAGACAGGGGAAGTGAAGGACACTGATCAACTTGTTCTAGTGGGAGTCTTTGGGTCCTGGTATTCAAAGGATGCTACTTTGGCACGTACCACCCAAGCACCAACCTCCGCAGCTGAGAGATGATGTCAACACAGAAATGGCAAAAATTGCAGTTCCTTAAATGGCTGCTTGAAGCTATCGCTTAAAGCAAATCAATGTCCATAGACCATCATGTTCAAATGTACAAATTTGCAATGAAAATAATCATGTTTACAGTCTGGGGAAAAAAACAAAGACAGTCTTAGTCTCTATAGCAAATTACCCTGTTCAAGACAGCTGTATGAGGGATAATCTTTATGTTACAAAGGCCTATAGTCAAAGCATAGTTAAGGGCGAGGCCACTTTGAGTGACCAGTCGGTGCCATCACAAGAAATTCAGGAGTTATTAGGAGCTGCCAAGATAGCGACAGCCAGAGTTACAGAGTTACTAACCCTAACCCTAACCTATTGGTGAAGTTACAGAGAGTTTGCCCATCTTCTTATGAGGGGGTTTAGTGCCAAAGTGGGTTTGTCCCACATTGGCACTAATTTACTAGTTTTAGAGATAAATGGGGTCAAATTTATAGTTGTTGGAAGAGGTCATTATATGCATCCAAAGATGTTTCAGCACTATCCAAGGGTCTTTATAAGGAACTGGAGATTCTTTTTAGTAGAAACAGATGCTTGGTGGTGGTTAATGAAGATTTTATTTTACCTCACTGTACCTGCAAGTTGAGTTTTCACAGGGCTTGTGCAACTACCTGCACCCGCGATAAAATGGTCAGCAATTCCTGTGGCTTGGCCCAGTTTGACACTAAATTTTCATGCCAAAACCATCATGGGCCAAACTTCAAAGTGGCATTGTGACATTACTAGTGGGCTGCTGGTTGGACCACTTTGCCATGAACTAGTAGACCATAAACACTTCCCCNGAGACAAAGCGACGCCTCCCCGATGTTTTGATGGTCAAAACAGAGACATGCGCCAAACACACTGACTGTTCTGTTGTTGTTGCTGAACCCATCCTTCACAGTCTCTTTCACACTGAAACTGTGCATTAAAGTCCTTTTTGCATTAACAATGCCCCCCGGCAGCCTGTCTGCCAGCAGCAACTTCAGAGTTCAAGAATGGTGCACATATCACCTGAGGTATTCTCACATATCACCTCAAATTCAACATGTCACCTGGATTACTTGTTGTCTCTATATGATTGGACAGACCTCTATTTAGACTCACAGCTACCTTCTTATACTTAGAAGTAACCTAAGTCTATTACACTGTAACATTTTGATATTTTATATATTTACTTTTTGACATATCTATTCTGGTTATTTATTTACTGAGTCTCACACACATCTTAGATGACAAACTTTTTAATCGCACAGTGATCACAAATAAAGATTTGATTCTTTACCTGAGCAAGATCAGCTGTGGTTGTAATGATGACAGTGATATCTGCATTAAATCCAACTTTTACAGACACTGGACTGCATGAATATTATTACTTTTAAATGAACAATTGTTTTTACTTCACTTATCTCTGGTCACATCTTTAAAACTTTTTCCCCGGTTGAACAAGGAGGTTATTTTTTTTTTATCGTCTTCTCAGCAAGATTATTTCAGTGTGCCATTAGAGAATTTGTTTAGCAGCATGTAAAACCTTTAAGAAAATTGGTGACAACATGCCTCAAGGAGCTGCTTCCAGGAATAAATTCACTGGTTATGAAAGCTGCAGTATTTTTGTATTTCAGTGTGGGTGCTGATGCTCGACATCACTATATTTAAACGTATCTGCACTGGGCTCTAATAAAGAGACAGTAACTCAAGAGAACACAGAGCAAATGATGACGCTGGTGCATTGTATAAGCCTGCCTTTGATGCAGTGGGATTCTCACCCTGAGCGTATGGTGCTCCTGGGCCAGGTAGGACAGGATGTGGGGGTTGAGCACAGTGGCCTCCAGGAAGCGGCTCCACAGAGCAGCCAGCTGGGAGCAGAGCTGGCTCACGTCCCTGCTGATCTGCTCCGCCACCTTCTCATGGCCTTCCTGCAACTGAAAAAAAAAAAGAAATACATTCCTGTGATATCAAACCGCATGCACCGGCTTTCAAAGACCTCCCAGAATACATCTTGCATGACTCTTTTTTTAGGATCTTTGCTTTTTTCTTGCTGACATACTTACATCTACCAACAATGTCGTGTCTGCAATCTGTCTGTCATATAAGTGTTTGGACTGTGGGCTGACTGATCATATTGGCATTCTTAAAAAAATTTTTAAAAATCCAGAACAACTGTAGGTCCAAACACAGTCTGGATGGCAGCTGCTGTCCTCAATACTGACCTCAACAGGTACAACACATATTGCTCACTAACATTTTAAGGCAGAAGGTTCTGGGTTTGAATCTTGGCCTGAGAAACGTAATCATCCTCACCAGCCACAAGGAGAATATACGATGATGAAATGTATGGAATCAGTAGAACCAAGAGTTCTACATCCGTTCCATTAATCTGGAGCATTGGAGCAGACTATTTTTAAATCATCACTGCAGATCACCCTTGATCATTTTACGTGCATGTTGTGTGTCTCTATAAGGGTCTAATGGCCTATAGATCAATCAGCCACAACATTAAAACAGACAGGGGAAGTGAAGGACACTGATCAACTTGTTCTAGTGGGAGTCTTTGGGTCCTGGTATTCAAAGGATGCTACTTTGGCACG